GATCCTGATAGTGTTTTTATAAAGCATAAGAAAACCGGTCGCTCGCGTATACTTCAAGAACACAAGCAGGTGATCTTGGAGTACATATATGAGAGTCCTTTAGTCGCCTTGGAGCAAGTAATGGAGCGACTACTTCAAAAGTTTCAGGATCTCAAGGCCTCTAAAAGCACTGTCTATAATTTTGTAAGAACTGAATGTAGTTTGTCATTCAAAAAAAGCCCAATTTTCAGCCTGTAAATAGGAACAGTGAAGAAAAAATTCAGGAGCGTTTCGACTGGGTTCGTAAGTGGGGGGGGGTTTACGAACATGGACTTTAGAACTAACTGCGTCTTTCTCGATGAGTCTGCATTTCATATTAATTTGAAACGTAGTATGGCCTGGTCAAAAAAAGGATTGCATGCTGCGGTCACAGTGCCCAAAACCCGAGCACAAACAACAACGATTTTAGGTGCGATCTCTGCTTCAGAATTAATAAAGTATAGCCTGAGATTACCGCAGCCGTCAGCCAAGAAAAGAAAGAGAGAAGGTTATGTTGAGTTAACGAGCACAGGGACAGTAACTGGTCATTATTTTAGCTTTCTGAAGGCCATGATGGATGAAATAGATCAGTACCCACATATGAAATGGTATTATTTTGTTATGAATAGCGCTATAAGACCTCAAATCCCAGAATCCTGACGTCGTTCAAGTTGAGCAAGCCCTTTCTCAACAGCCAAGCAGCACCGTATCCGTAGAAGACTTTGGCCGCTTCCTTCAAGCCAGATCTTAACAGTCTGCCGTTCTCAGTCTATTCTATGGACACACCATCAAAAACCATGATAATGGATACCCTCCCTTTCGTAAGGTCCGTCTTTCAGCGTACTTCAACAAACAACGTGCCGATCAAAAGCTTATTCAAGACTTACGCGCCAAGTTTAGAGAAGACGCCGTGTTTATGATGGGAAACTGGTCCGCTCCCCATGCTAGGTATCATGAGTCCATCCGTGGTCTTGGTTTCCGAAGACTCCTCAAGAAGCATGGGTTCCAAGTCTATCTTATAGACGAGTACAAGGCCAGTAGGTGCTGCCCAACATGCCACAACGAGAGCCTCCACACGTTCCGTAGTGTTCCAAATCCACGACCGTATCAACGTGAGCGATATTCTACTGTTGTCTGCCATGGCCTTTTAAGGCAATAATACATGAACCACTTGTATGACTTTATTCTGATTGAACATTGCTTGTAGATGCACCAATCTATACTGTAGACCTGCCATGGCAGCTCCAGATAGATATCGCTTTTGGAACAGGGATGTTGCTGCTGGTCTCAACTACATGCACATCCTTCGTGAGATTCGACATAATGGCATGGTTCCTCATAGGTTTCGCCGGGTTGCTGTTGCTCCTACAAGACGTCGAAGAAGGGTGGACCATAATTCTCTGTCGTAGTTATTGCTAGGACACATCTAGATGCCTTCGGGGTAAGTTGTATGGATGTAATAATTTTCTTACATAACTAACTGTATAATTCTTTATATTCTCTCCTTGGTACTTATTACTCTCATTTGTATGTCGTCTCCTTTTGCGCGCATTTTATTTTTAACCTTTGCGTAAATGCTTTTTTTTAATATGCGCCAACTATTTTTTTCATACACGTTATAATTTTATCCTCTTTCTGAAATTTATTTTTAATCAAACAGTATGGTTGTTGACGAACTCTGTATGTTCCATCCGAGTTATTGTAAATACAATAACAGTAAATGGTTTGTATAAACAAAAGAGTAACCAAGTATATTAAAAGTCGAGTCATGTCTTTAAAAGAGTTTAGAAAAGTTGCTTTATTCTTCTGTCTCTTTTTTCTATCTTTGCTTTATATATCGATCTGTGTTGTCTAATTCATTATGTTGTTATTCTCTGTGAATACAACAATGAAATAAACTTATTTTATTGGTTGAATGCATCCCAAGAGTTAATTGTCTTGTTTTTGTCTTACTCTTTTCTATTGATAAAGTCTATCAATCATATCTAAATATGACTCTTTTTCTTTTTTCAAAGAGATGCACTATGAAATCATCACAGTTAATATATATAAACGGAAACAGGTAGAATCATAATGTCGATTTCTGGAAGCTCAAACGTTTGATATCGGAAAATATTTGTTTTTCTTTTTTTCTTTTTTTTTTACTATTAAATTTACTACTAAGTTACAATAGCATCTTATCAGAATCCAAAGTTAAACATGGTATATGCATATGCACAATATATGATTAGCAGTAATACTTATACATGCATAGAACACAGACAAAAGTAATCGACTACAATCCATGGTGCACTTTCATGTCGAAAGGGCCAAATCATTGATCTTCAGGAACAACAAGTCGCCTTCAGAATCTGTCATTATTGTCAACGGACTCTTACGTTTTATCTCTAGACTGACAAAGCATCATCTTTCGCAATAAAATACCATTCTTTTACCAAGAAGGTTATTTTTATTATTATTTTAGATATCAAACATGGGGAAAAATAGACATTTTGTCTTTATATGTGTGTGAGAGTGAGTGAGTGTGTATAGTATGTATGTATATAATTTAAATTTTATGTGTGTTTGTGGGTAGGTGTAAAATGGGGGAGGGGAAAGCATGTGAATTTGCTTATGACGGAAAGCAAACAAAAAGAAAAGAGAAAAGGGAGGAACAAGGGAAAGAGAAATAAAGAGAAATTAAAAGGATTTAAGGACCAAAGTTGAAACCACCTTGAGGAACGTTTTGATGGAAGGTGAATGATTGAGGAACAGTCTCTTCAGCCATTTGTTCTTCATTCTCTTGAGCAAAGTATCTGTCAATGATATCAAATGCCTTCTTGTATATTTCATTGTTTTCATGTTGTTGCAATTGGTGAATGATGTCCATACCACCGCACTCTTCAATGAAAGCTGCATAGCGATTGATGCCTTCAGGATCATTAGGACGCTCTTGCTCTCCAATCTTCAAAATGTTTTCTAAACCGTCTAAAGCAACTTGAATCATCTTGTTTTCAGTAGTCATCAACATGTCACAAAGTGGCTTGATGACACCTTGAGAAACCAAATAGTGGATTTGAGAAGGCTTATTAAGTCCTCCTGATGTTGCATTCACAATAGCCCAGCAAGCCTCCTTCTTTGTCTTGAAATCAGCAGTCTGCAAGATCTGAACAAGGGCAGGGATAATATTGGCTTCAATAACAGCATCAATCTGGGCAATGTTGCCAGCAGTGATATTGGAAATAGTCCAGCATGCTTCCTTTCTGATAGCTTCCTTATGACTGGATAAGAGAGACAAGAGAGCAGGCAAAGCACCGCAGTTGATGACAACCTGAGTTTGCATATCGCTACCAGTAACAATGTTACCAACCGAACGAAGAGCAGGAGTTTGAACGGAGGTTGAAGGGTGCATCAAGAGTTCAACAAGTCGACGACAAACACCTGATTCGATCACCACCTGAATTTTGTCACTGAATCCATCAGACAAATAAGAGAGTGCCCAACATGAATCTATCAGGACTTCCTCATCTGCAGAATAAATCAGCTTGGCAAGCATAGGAAGGGCAGGCACAACAGCTTCCCACTTTGGTTGGGGATTCTTTCCACGGCAGAGGTTAGAAAGAGTCCAGGTGGCATTACGAAGCATGGAGAGCTTGTTGTTTTCGTTCAAAATGGATAAAAGAGGTGGAAGTGCTCCTTGATCCAAAACATAATCACGGCAGAGAGCACTATCACCAGCGACATTACCAAGAGCCCATACAGCCTAACATGGATACATAAGTACAACATATAAAGATTAAAAATCGCTCTTACCTGTTCTCTGACATCAGGAACTGGACTTGAAAGTAACTCAATGAAAATGGGTACAGCACCAGCTTCGATGACAACCTTTGTTTGGTCAGAGGTACCTGAGGCAATGTTGGTTAAAGCCCAAGCAGCTTCAAACTATATACATGGTGAGTTCTCCCTTCTTATTTTTTTTTTTATTTTCTTTTTACCTGCAACAAGCTATGAGGAGATCTCAGGAACTCAACAAATTTAGGTACAACACCAGTAGCAATGACATCCTTAATAGGTGGATTACGTTCTTTGGACAGCAATTTTCTAAACTTGGTGGTAGCATCATATTGCTTTTCGACATCATTGGAATTGACAGCCTCGATCAAGATCAACAAGTTGGAGTGTAACTAATAATTACAATAGATATTAGCAACACATTAAAAACAAAAACAAAAACAAAAAACTCATGCTTACGTTTGTATCATCCTCGACTTCAACTTCTTCTTCGCTGTCAGACATGGACGCGGTAGGTATATTCATATTGCGACGCTTGGTCAAGTTCTCTTCACGTTTTTGTTTTCTAATCTCTACCGAATGCTGTTGTCTACGGTTTCTGACTGAGTCGACGCCAAAGGCATCCTTATTTTTGAAATTATTCTTTCGTTGATCTGCTGCGACTTTGTCCATTTTATTACGAATACCAAATAGAAGGGGGAGAGAAAAAAAAAAAAAAAAAGTTTTGATACATCTAGATACACCCAAAAGAAGACTGAGATTAAAACGTGGACTGCTAAATTTTTTTTAAAAAACGAATTTTGCCAAGATGAGTGTGTAGCCAAAAAGCGTCAGTTGTTTCCATAAAAAAATAATCTCCTGGGCACAGTGAGCAACATAGCTTAAGGATACAGGTGGAACCCTATGACATGGGATCATCCTGAATAGCCATATCTAATAGTTCAACAATAAGCTTTGCAATTAGATCCCACTCCGTCAAGGCTCTTTTGTTTATGTCGATGCTCTTTTACTTTGTCAACCCAAATTATCCATTTATTCTTTCGACATGCATGACACGTTCAACGCGTCCCTCTAGTACGCTCACTCAGACACATATTATGGAGCGTCTTCATGGGGCTAGTTGATTATGCTTCACGCACTCGTCACCTTGGAGTCTTTTGTCTTTTATGCCCTTAATGTTCTGCAAAGTATGCTGGTTGTTGTGTTTCAAAGTTGATATACTGATTAAAAGAGTTTAATATAGTCTTCTAGTCATACGGTATTTCCAAAAAATAATGACGCTGCTACTGAGACTAGATGTCGTATTGAAACCATTGTAATGTTATCAGAGTGATAGCAAATACAAAAAGAATATGGCTCACTATCCCATTTGACAGTAATATTAACAAGTGGGCTGTCTTGGAGTTGAAATTAACTTAATATTAGAAATAGCCCTCTTTAATCTTTGTAAAAGTTTAAATTCTTTATTCGGTTTTTCCATGAAATCAGAAGAACATGTAGTCATATTTGGCAATACATATTCTTGAGTGGTCACGATATAGATTGCTCCTATTTGACATGATTTCTTTGTCCTAAGTATCCAATCCTGAAATCTGTTTGAAAGAAAAACATATAAAAACCCATTTTAATTGTTCCTATTTTTTGCTTCTTTACAGCAGTTATCAAATGTCCCTCTAAGTGTTCAAGGATTTACCAATCAAAACTAGCCTGTCCTCAAGATCCTTGCTTTGACTCGCTTGTCTCGCCCTTTTTGCTCTCTGGTGTGTATCTAGAATGTTCCCCAATAGTCTCTTCTGACGCCCTGGGTTCTCTCTGTCCTCTGTTCCTTTTTTTTTTTTGTTTAAACTTCTCCTGGGTGGTTATCACTACCCTTCTCAGAATGCACCTTGGTGGTAAGTAAGACTAATATTAGGACATATGCTCTAATACTAACATACTTTTTCTCTCTTTTTCTACATATACTCATTATCTCTCTCTCTTTTGATATATTTTTCTTTGTCGTCTTTTTACGTAAAATTAACGCCAATAATTAATAAAGATACAGTGAAGGTATATAATGATCCGAATGATACTATTAAAAAAAGACAATACATTGAACTATCAATAGCAGCATTGTTAACAACAATCTTCATAAAGATTTTCAATTTGACGTTGAATAAGAACAGTTTGAGTAGTGAGGAAGAGTAGATGCCTTGTAAATGTTATCGTGTTAGTTTATAAACGTACGATTTAGGCAATCATACTAATTGTCAACAAGTGATTTAAAACTACTATACCACTACACAGCAACTAATGAAGGGAGGTTGGTATTGTATATCATTCACCGAAATCTATGAGACGAGATTGAGATAACACTGAGAACTCAGTGAGACCTAGAAACTAGATACAGAAAACACAGCACTGACTCTTCTCGCGAAATGTGTTAAAAAGAGATTGCTGTGATCCTTGTTACTTAATATGATCAGATAAGCGTAGCAATGAATTAGAGCCAAGACCAAGAGCAATGCAGCTCAGTTAGTCAAGTAAAGATCAATGACTTTATGAATATCTTATGTTGATAAGGCGTCATGCATTTTGACACTTAGTTCTACTCGCGAGTGGAAGAAAAACTTTTTTGTATCATCTATTTCAATATGTATAGAAACAATCTCGTACGATAATATCAAGGTAAATACGACGATTTTGACAGATAAACATAGTTGGGGAAAACCGTTTCATGGGGGTGATAAGCTGTTATGTATCTATGGAGAAGGGCTCCAATTATTCTTCCTTTCTTTAGTTGAATCCTATAGCATATCAAATATTGCCTCAAATTACCTCATAACAGTGCCAATATCGTTGAATGGAGATTGTACTAATTTGATAGATTGACTTACTTCCTGAATAAGTGATGATACCAGCAAAGATAGATTAAACTCACAATCAGTCATATCCAACTAAATTATTATGCTTTGTTTCGAAGCAATCGCTATTGTTTTTATCTTTACTTTGGCTACACTTTTTCTGTAGTTATCTGGGCTTCATGGCACTTTATGTCTAGCTTCTTTCTTAAAAATGGGCTTTTCTCAACCATTTGTGCCATCATTGACAAATAAATCAGAAAATTGTTTCTTTTTCATTTGATCATTATGTTCATAATGGAGCAATGTAGGTGAGGGAAATATGTAAAAAGCCCAGAAATAAAAATCAAGTGCCAAGAGAGAAATTATGAGAACCCGTGACAAGCGATAACCATCGGAAAAAAGCTACAAATCGTTTAGACGGACTATAGGAGAATGTGAATAATTGGGTCCCATTGGACTTGTGTAATACAATTAATATCGATACCCAACATGTATATTTCCTCGGAAAGATAAAGAAATAGCCTAGCAACTTTAATGCTTGTATACTAATATATATTGTTTAATTGCATATTGATAAATAATAGCTGCTGATGAAAGTTTAAATACATATATACAAGCAAACTGACTCTCTATAAGTGTGTAACAACGTTCCGTTTAAAATATCTCATTGATAAATAGCTCTTTATAAGAGTAGTTTGTTTTAGTACAACGGCTACTGTAACTACTGTGTCTATGTTTACTGTTTTCATGGATACTATTGATTGTTTTGATAGCATAGCCCCCCATGTTTGTTTCGGCAGTGTAACTTTGATAAGATTATATATCGAAAATACAGTATAATGATTGGCCTATTTTTATCCTTATCACTCTTCATGTAAAAAATCCCGCTAATCTCCTTTAGTTACATAGATGCACATTTATATATAAAAAGCATATTTGAAATTACATTTCTTTCCTTTATTCAATTTATAAAAAGCAATGACGTCGAGCTTTGTTGTATTCTCTGGTGGATCTGCCTGCAATCACATTTTGAAAGCATTTCATAACAATGCTAGTGATGACCAAGTGAGCTACATACTTGGTATTAGTGATAATGGAGGATCAACGGTAATATTCTTTATTTGATTTAAATAGCCGATGACTCATCCAATTTACAGAGTGAAATCCTTAGAGTCTTGGGAGGCCCCAGTGTGGGTGATTTAAGATCAAGACTGTTGAAATTAATTGATATATTTCATAATAACCAAGATCAAGAAATGATTGCTATAAAAAACTTACTAAGCTATCGTTTACCTATGAATGGAAAAGATGAGTGGTCGTTGATCACAGAAGGCAGACACAAGTAAAAGAAACCTTGTGTTGAATCCAAAAAAAAAAAATAGGAGCTCATGCTTAAATTTTCTATAGAATTTGGAACAACATTTCTGTAGAAAAAAAGGAAGCTATTCGAGGATTCTTAACCTTATTTGATTTTGAAATCCTAAAAAGAGCCCATAAACGATTCAACTTTTGCAATGGAAGCATAGGAAATTTTCTCCTTAGTGGAGCAAGAATATTCACTGGATCATTAGAAGCTGCTATCTTTTTGTTTGCATCCATCATTGGCGTACCAAACAACCTTGTTATACCAGTCATCAATACCAATCAAACAGCGACTATTGCAGCCACCTTGATCAACGGACAGACATTGATCGGCCAATGTGAGATATCACACCCACCTTTAACCACAAACAACGTAACAATTAAGAGAAAGATGAACCCCATTGATATCTTCACTTCACTAGAACAAGAATCTTTTATCATACATCAGCATGAAAAAGATGAAAGCTCAAACCTATTCTTTTCAAAACAAGTTAATGAAAAGTTAGACTCACCAATTCAAAGAATATATTATATCAATGAATATGGACAAGAAATCTTTCCAGTGCCTAATTCAAAGGTCATAAGTCAGTTATCAAACAAGGAAACACTCATCTATTCTATTGGGTCACTCTATACCTCATTAATACCATCATTGGTGCTAAGAAATATTGGAAACGCAATTGCACAATCACAAAGCCTAAAGTATAAAATAGTCTTACTCAATGGCTCCAACGATCGTGAAACATGTGATTACACTGCACTAGACTTTATTTATGCTATCACAAATGCACTTAATGAAAGCCAGCGCATTGATGCTCGTCGTGCATTTTATGATCACCCAGAACATTACAACAGCAGCAATAACAGTAGTAACAACAATAGCACTGACGCAAGTACTGTCAGCAGTATATGCACACCACCCTCTTCTTACCCACCTTTCCCTGATCATCTATTCTATCCAAGTTCGATTTCAACCTTTATTACCCATATGATTTATTTGGATAATACGACCATACATGTTGATGTAGAGGCTATTGAAAGATTAGGTATTCGATGCATCCCTATTAAAGGCTCTCTGTCAGATACGGGTGAGCCAATCTACCTTGAATCTACCCTATCCGAAACTATTCATCAACTTGTCATGTAAATATTTCCTTCATTTCATTTACACAAAATTATATTCCCTCATAATAAATCACACGCAAAACCTGGCATTTCTTTTCTTTAAGGTTTATTATGATATCATTCCCCATCTATAAACAAAATGAACCTTAAATAGTAAAAAAGTAAAAAAGAAAGGGGGTAAGCAGTTCTCTCCTTCATAGAGTTCTCTCTTCTGATTTTATAAGTGCTAATATACTTAACAACAAAATGAACCAAAGATTAAACATCTTGTTTTCTGTCTAGAATCAAATGGTGAATGTATCTTGTGCTTACACAATATACATTGACTTTCTTCTTGTATCATATCATCACGTCAGCGAATGATCTTGACGGAGTCACAAATGTCTTGTAAAAGGTCAGCATAGGCACTGTGCACTGAAATTTAAATTGTCGACATTATTTCATGGTACTTTAGATACTATTCATAAGTTGCTAGTTTTTGTAGCTGCTCTGTAACAAGCAGTTTATTTGCAAAATTAATTATTATAATCGTGCTATCTCCCTGATGTTTGTCTCAATAGCGTAGTACTTCATTTTGCAAAAGAAGAACTAAAGAACCAGATATGGCAATAATATTCCATCACGGACTATTGTGCCCTGAGAAAATAATTTAATGGCTAGCAATCATCGCACGTATTTATCTGCCCAAATCAAGTTTAGAGCAAAGTATGACTGAATCAGAGTGTGTAGAAAATCCAAAGCTGTCGCCTCGGAGTAATTCAAAGAACTTTACTCACTGGCTTAGCGTTGCCCAATGTCAGTAGATGATAAAAGAGGGTCTGAAGGAGAATAGGACTGAAATTATCGGATGCATTAGAAAGTTCAAGACTGTAAAAGTGCTCACATGCCAATAGGCCTTGTATTGTTCTTTCTTCTTTTGCCCCTTTGATGGTAGGTTTATGTAAAACTCCCACCGCTTCCCACATGTCAAGCGTGTTAATGTATATGTCTTATACCCAGAAAGTTGCAAGCTTTTATCTGACCTAGTGTAACATGAATGGGTTTATTAATCATTGGTTTTTATTAAAGCATTACTTTCTTTGCACAAAACGAGCCTTAAATGGTAAAGGAACAACGGTTCCATCCTCCTCGACCCATTTGTCGAGCTCTGGGTAGACTTTTTCTCCTGACTTTGTAAGTGCAGGCTCAATGGTGCACTTGGCTAATAAATGGATACAGAAGCTAAATATTTCGTTTTCAGCCTACGCGAAAATAATCAGCATACTTACACGCATGTGTGAGTCATTAGCCTTTTACTTACCAAGTAAATACCAGGACAAATGCGTCTTCCCCATCCAAATGTAAACACTTCTCTGGTCTGAGTACTGCCATTACTTGACGCATACATTGATCGATTATCATTCAGGAATCGCTCAGGTTTGAATTTTTCAGGCTCATGGTAGAGCTTAGGGTCCATATTCATCGAAAGATTGTTTGCAAGCAAGACGGTACCCTTTGGAATGATGTAATCCTTGTAAACAACTAAATAAAATACCAGAGTTATACTTTAAAATATCAGCAACGCTTATTCTTCATACCATCTTCGCTGACTTTGTGGGAAAGGCCAAAAAATGTCACAGGGCGATATCGGACTACTTCTTTGATAACGGCCATGCAGCTAGGAAGCGCTTCTCGTTCAGAGAATTCAGGTGTTCGACCATGTGTTTCAATAAATAAATCAACTTCTTCCGCTATCTTCTTTTGCCATTCAGGATGATTACAAAGGACAGCAATAAGCCAAGCTATAGTTAGAGATGAAGTGTCAATGCCTGCAACCATCAGTTCATCTAAACAATTGAGCGTGTGATTAAGTAAACGTTTTAATTAAACACAAAGGGGGACTTACTGGCAAGAACAGTAATACTTTGTTCATCCAAGTTCAAAGATTCTTTGATCTTGTCCAGCTTCTTTATAAAACAATCTTGTTCACTTTCACGGGCGCGGTTAATAAGCATTCCACAAAGTGGACGAACAGTTTGATCCACAAAACGTCTCATCCTTTGTTTACTTCCAGAAAAAAAATCCACAAATGAAAGGAAAGGAAAATAAGCGCCAACATCAGATGTGATACCTGTATGCATGGTACATCCCTCTAGATTATCTATCAACTTCTTGTACAGTGGGTCATCTATACTGGCAACTCCCGATATACCAAACAATGTGGCTAACACGATATTCATGGCCATAAGACGTGTATAATCTAGAGGTTTGACCTCACCTTCTGAGGAATCTTTGATCATCAGTTTGACAACGAATTCACTTTCTTTCTGGAGTGTGTCATTAAGGCTGTCGACAGATTTTGGCGAGAGGATATTGAGAATAGCCGTTCTTGCGCTTTTCCAGGATTTACCATAGTCAGCAAAGACAACACCTCTGTTTATATTGTGTGAATTTCAAGGTGATTATACTCAGTTTTACCTTTTTACCTTCCTCCCTCCCCATGAACATCGCTGCCAAAAGTATGGAAGGGTCTACCGGAGGTGACTCTTCCTTTGGTCACGAATATTTCATTGGCTGCCTCTACATCACCAATTGACACCCAATCTTGTGCTCCTAACTTGATATGATAAATTGGCCCTAGCTCCTGATGCCATTCTGCCATCTTGTGTCCAGGATTAGGAGCAAGATACGGAAAGTGGCCTAGTTTAATATCAATCATAACGATTTCTCTTTGTAGAAAGTACTTTATTACCAAGATAAAAGTATTGTCCTTTTGGTGTAGGTATATCCTTTGATCCTCCTGTCTTGTACTCTTTTGATCGCTGAATGGTTCTTTTTAGGTACCATAGAGTTACTACACTAGCAACAGCAGTGCCCAGGATCGAAGCTGATTTCTGGTCAACTCTTTTGATGAGTGATTCATAATCCATAATCAATATAATAATCACAGCAACTGAAAAAGAGATCGTGTGAGAACGGTTATTTATATACATCTTTATTTTATGCTAATTGCTTTTTATATACACAAACATTTATTCATGCATACAACCATTTATGTGCCCTGGATAATCACTGGCCGAATAGAGTAATCCATTTCGCCGATTTTTTTAACAAATCAGCTGTATTATTTACTTTCTCAGGCTGTCATACAAACACAAAAAAGGGTAATATATAAACTTCTTCAGGGATTTTGTGGGGAAAAAAAATTGGTTGTTTGCGACAATAATAGTTTTTAAAATCGGCCCGAAGAATACCGGTATGCAGAGCCGCGGATGAAGTCAGAGAGCAAAGGTATAAGCGTAGCTCGTCCATTGAGAGTTTAGGCCATGGACTAACACTTGAGATAGAGGATGAACTGACGGGTATCTATGTGTTGTCGAAAAGCAATATAATAGTGGAATGCCGGTGGCAGACGAAAAATACGATCCTGCAAAGCAGCAAGGCAAGATAAAGTGCTGGGATGACAGTATAATCTAATTGGCTGGATGATATAATCGCCACGTTTTTCTCTCAGTGCGACTACTTTAGAGAGACAAATGGATGATCACATTCATTTTGGTTATAGGACAGTAAAGAAGTTAATCCTGTAAAGAACTGAAGCACGCATGAAAGTACTCAAATTTTGCTGAAGCTGAGGGGATTAAAATGGAGAAACTGTCAAATACATCATGTAGCAGTTCACAAAGTGTGAGCTAGTCGGCACTATGGCTCGCAAGAGAGGCTTCTTCCTGAAAATTATATCAGAAAGTAACAGCTTCTTACTTTGATAATCAAGGAATAACTTTGAAAACTTGAGTTTTTTATTGTGATATTGCAGTAGTCTTTATTAATTAACCAAAAAGACGATTATATATTTTATCCTTCACTGTGATTGCTCGATAGTCTACGGCAATTCTGTCAAATACGGATAATGCAGTCTACTTGCTTTATCAAATTGGTAAACGACTTGTTCTGGTCGATCAATGACTTTATTTAATAAAGCAAACAATTTCAAAAGTCTTGTAACAGATAGGCTATCTACTTTTATTTTATTCTATAATACAATTAGGCAAGGTTTTTCAAAACAGCTTCAGTCACGTCGTTCGTGGAATTCTTTCCACCCAAGTCAGGAGTGAGCACAGATCCATCTGCCAAAACAGCATCGACAGCATCATAGATTTTGAGTGCTTGTGTAGTGTGGCCCATATGTTCAAGAAGCATACCAGCAGATCGAATGGCAGCAATAGGATTAGCAATACCCTTTCCAGCAATATCAGGAGCAGATCCATGCACAGGTTCACCCATGACAAAACTATCACCAACATTGGCAGAAGGGACGACACCAAGAGAGCCTACTAATGCAGCGGCACCGTCAGAAAGAATATCGCCATACAAGTTGGGAGCTACAACGACATCAAATGCCTCAGGTTCACGGAACATACGGTAGACCATAGAGTCCACGAGCTGTTCTTCCATATCAACATCATCGTATTCCTTGTTGGCGGTCTTAACACCACGAACCACCTCACGCCATAAGCCATCAGTGATACTTAGCACATTGGATTTGTGTACAATTGTTACACGAGGGTTTTTCTAACACACTCTTTTAGAAACATATCCAAAAAATAAAATAGTGTAAGTCACTTACCTTCCAGAAACGCTTTTCGATAGGGATTTGCTCACGAAGTTGTTGACGAGTTAAGGCCATGTTGAACGCCATCTTACCGGCGCGTTGTGAGGCAAATTCAGTAATTCTGCGATCAGCATAAGCCACTCTTAAACCTGTCTTGGGATCGACTTCCTCACGTTCAGACTTAATATACTAAAAAAAGAAAAGAAAAGAATCAGCCTTGATCAATCAATATCTATACACAATGTGACACTTACCAAGCATTCTGTGTTTTCACGGATGATAAGCATATCTAGTAGCTTTTGGTTAGGAAAAGCAGGTGAGTTGACAGACTTGACAGGTCGAACATTAGCATATAAATCCAGATGCTTGCGAAGTGCAACAATAGGTGAAGAGTAGCCAGCTACTTTGTGAGAAGGAGAGCTGTTCTTTGATTCAATATACTTTTTCTATATACGTGTACATGTCTGTTTACCTTACAGCACCAAAAAGAGCACCTTGACACTCATTCTTGAGTACTTCAATAGTCTCTTGTGGGAGGGATGTGCCTGTCTTTTGGAAAAGCTCAAATCCAGCGTCAAGGTTTACAAACTCAAATTTAGGCCCAGAGTTTAAGGATTCGAGTACTCGACGAGCAGCCTATGATAAAAGGATCTGAGCAAAAGAAAATACAGCGGTTAAACGAGTCTAACAACTTACAGGAATAACTACACAATTGATGAAAAGTAAGGAGATAAGTCTTCCTTCTCCTTATATTTATTTGACTCCTTACCTTCTCTACCAATACCGTCAGCAGGAATTAAGCCAATCCTTAGTGTTGACTGAGCAGAAGTAGCAAATTGACGACGAATGATGTTTGTAGCCATATTGAATGAATATATATAAAAGACTAGAGGAAAAAAAAAAAAAACAAGAAAAGACAAGTAGCTACTTTTATACATGTCTCTCTATGCAGTTTGAAAACCCCGTCACTGAGATGAGATGATCGCAACCAAATATAGTAATATTTATCTGATGAAAAAAAAGAAGATATATGCACATAAAGTTGCTTTTATTATTATTATTATATATTATTGTTACTACTACAATTGTGTAAAATAGTAGTAAATTTGTTATGCACTGTGTTGTATATATGTTTATATGATTGCTGTTGCTGTTGTTGTATGTGTGCTTCAACTCGTGGTTTTTTTTACATCATGGCACATCCACACCCATTAACTGGTTCAACAAAGGGATCTGGGTGTTTATTTCCCCAAATTGAAGGAATCATCAAGTCAGTGGTTGATTGACAAAAGTCAATTAAACTAAAATTTCAATCAGTTAATTCATGCTTAATATAAAGATGAAGGGAGGAGTCTTTACGATTTACTTGCTTCAGATACTGGAACTCTCGGAAGGTCAAGTTGTTGCTTTAATTGTACATTAAGTTCAAGAAGCTTTTTCAATTTTGCTTCTGACACTGAATGAGTAGTCATTTTATTTCTTGTTAAAAAAGAGAAAAAGAAAAAGAAATAAAAAAATTAAAGGAGTTGTTGCTTTTTACGCAGAAAATTATATAGTTTTGACCCACACTCTTCTCCAATAATCTTTGATATTTCTTTTTGATTCATGCTTGCTAGTTCTTCAAGGTTATTTACCTTGCTGATGATCGCCTTGTAATTCTTCGAATTGACGCCCGGCATACTTCTTAAAACATCCTAATATAAACAAGTTTATATATGAGATTAATATAAGTATGCTTTTCTTACTTGAGGAGTCATATTATACACCGTCTCCCCGTCTTCTCCTTCTTCTGCACCTATACTCGCTGCTTTCTCCATATTAGGTTCTTCTTGATTGCTCTAAGTTTAAAAATTAGTATTGTCATTATTGTATGTCGTTTATACCTTTAAGTCTTCAAATATCGTTGCTGTTTCATGCGGACTGGGTGACCAAATGATCCTTAATTTTGGAAAGGCCAATGTTAGCACAACAAGCTTGGAAGATATATCTTGCAATCGAATACTTTCACGAAGGTCAGATACGCCCTATTTAGAGTGAGCATAAAGTGGGTGAGCAAAGACGAGGGATGTTTACTTGTAACGAAAATGACTTGTTTTCATCAAACTCAATCAATAAAACAGGTGTTTTGTAATACATAGACATATTCTCACATTGTGTATACCTAATATAGTAGTCAGCCTCTTCATACCAATCTTCTTTTTTTCTTGTCTCCTTACAGTCTTCCCGAGTTTAAGGATTGAATAAGATCTGATATCGATTTACGTTCCACACAGATATCAGGGCTTAGGACGAAATCACCCACTTGCAGTGTACATGGTTCGATCTTTATACCTCGTGCATAGAGTATGGGTGGTAACACATTTCGAAACTCACGCATATCTACAATGATCACCTTTGGCCCTGTCGCCACTTTGACCTGTCCACCAGCAATTCTGGTGCTAGGACGAATCACTTCGATCTCTCTTTCTTTACGTTTTTCAGGTAATGGAATGGCCATCACCTTGAAAATAGGCTGAGTATATCTGGCCAATTATATATGTATTACTTACTGATTTCTCATGAATTAGTTTTTCAAATGATTCCTTTTCTTTCTTGATCAAAGAAAGATAATTCTGTTCTTCAACAGAGTTTTCATAAAGCATAAAGTAAACACGGACATCTATTGTCGGATGTTTGGCTCGATATACTTCAACCTGTCGAACAAAGGCCGGATTAGGATCAAACATGATAATGAACCTTGGTTGGGTATCTTCTAGTATCTGTTCGTGAAGGTCGTCATCATAGGATTGAATGGTAATGATTGAATTTTTGGGTATTTCTTCAAAAGTTGGAAGAATGTCATCGCTTGTGTCATCTATTCTAAAGTTCATCTGACTCATTTCTCCTTCTTCTTCTTCAATCTCTTCCTTTTCTTCTTCATCGTCCAGTCTAGAAAAAAAAAAAAGCAGTTAGAGTCTAACAATGGATTGTTGTAATAATATTTACATGGAAGTCACCTGTATGACATCGTTACTGAAGGTATCTGCCAAAGAAGTGCCCTCTCTTCCGGGACCAGCTGCCGCAGTAGATCCTCCTCTGACCCTTCTACGTTTATTAGGAGGCGGTCTTCCTCTGGTTATATTCGTAGATTGTGGTGTTGTATTCTGTCGAGTGGATGCAGCGACTTGCATCTGATGTATGGTTGATCTCCACTTGAAGAAGCGATGAGCTAAACTCTTTAAAAAGGATGGAGCTTGATCATTCAAACGAGTGATGTATTCTTGCAGCTGACGACACGTTCGTCTTTCTGATACCATGATTAACACAGCAGCTCCTTCGCCACGGTTGAGTCCTAATGACTCATGTTCTATTTCACGTAAAATTGAGTTTAGTAAATTCCACTTTGGCTGTTCCTCAAGTACGAGCTTTATATGTGACGGTAGTTCTGGGTCCTCGGCTGAAGCTGGCGTTTCGTCATATTCAGGATCACCCTTTTTAAGATAGACTCGCTTTCTGGCTTCCTTTTTGAAGGAGGGATTATCATCAATAACAGAAAAAAGATAAAAAGTATACAACTTACAGCTACAGCTCGATTACCAGCATCCGTAAATAGCCATTGAGACTGTCGTGTCTGCCTTATGTCATTAGGTGCATTAGCAGCAATGACAGTTTCCATAAAACTATAGAATGTGACACAATCATAAGCTGTCAGGTATCCCAATAACTGTCTCAGAATTTTCAAATCATCCACAAGTTGCTTTGACGCTGGTGATAATCTATGCCACATAGGGTCCAATTGTCTTCTGACAATGACATCAAAAGATTTAAAAAATGAGTTTTCAATCGTAAACTCGCCTACGTCCACATGAGGATTCGTTCTACGTAATTCAGCCAAGGTCGCTTCCATACACTCGACCAAACACTGCTGTATTGTGTCCATTGCTTCTGTCATTGGCTGCCTTAGCTCAATAACATTACCGTCTACTTTAGATAAGTTCTCAGAGACAGTCAATTGAAATCGAGGCCACAAATGCACTTTGCGTAAAAAGAGAGCCTTCATCGTGTTTTGTAAAGGAGCGAATCCAGTAACAAATGATTCTGGTCTGTCCGAGAATGCCTTTATAAACCCTTGTTCATTTTCTTCTCGAAAGATGCGCAAAATGAGCTGGATCATGGAATCAGGCTTTACACTGTGTAGTATAAAGTAAAAATCTCATCATGACCCTTATAACAAATATCATTCTTACGTGTGTGCATTGCAGACGATGATGCCGCTTATTAAAGAAGTTGGGATTCTTTTCAATAGCATATCTACAGCTAGAATTCTCGATGTCACTGAAAATATACCACTTTGACGATACATCAGGCCTCTAAATACATAAGATGTGATAAATAGGATAATAAACAACACATCAGAAAACTGTCTTACCTTTGCTCTGCGCTCGTGTTATATTCAATATGCTTAATTGTTTGCTCATATGGAACACCTTTTGCAACCAACTGTCTTTGAATCAACTCGTGTTCGTCTTGAGATATATTTACGACCAACACAAAGTGGTTTCCTCCAGTGTAGATCTGAATAAGATTGCATAGTATTTCAAATAAACCTAATCCCGGTGACATGATCAGTAAACCGTCTTCTGAGACGATTTCTGTCAAGATCTGTCTCTGAAATTCCAACATTGTAAAAGTATGCAAAATGAGACAGAAAAGAAAGAGTTTCGACTGCGCACGCGTAAAATGATTCATTGATTAATGCTTCTTCAACGCTTCGTCCAATAAAAAGTCACAGAGTACTTTGTCCAATGAAATGGCGGGCTCAAGAACTTCTCGCTGCTGTGTGTTCATAAACGTTAATTTTCGAAAAATATGATAATTTGCTAAGCAGTACACTGTTATTATTCAGAAAAAGTACCTGTCACTGGTATGTTTTACCCTGCCCTCATTGAAATTCCTCTACGGCTTCAATATTCCGAGCAATAGGATAATAGCAGTGGATATTCATAAATTGGATTATGGTGTATTAAAAGGCCATTTAAAGAGTTGTACTTTAGTCCTTCAATAAAAATGATTTTTTTTATCACGTTTTGTAATTAGCTTTTATTGTAAATGCGGAGGGATAACCAAAGTGTAATAATAATCACTCCTTCGCGTCGATCAACCTAAATCAAATAGTTCATGTAGTCATGTTAGCTAATTAGAACGATAATTGAACTTAAAATGGCTGCGTGGTTTAGGTTAAATGACTCACCCTCCAAACATACAAGTAATAAGAGAATAGGTGATATTTGCTTGTTTATATCATGTTTATCTTTTTAATTTAACCTTTTTTGTTTAATCCAATCTCTCTCCTTTTTTCCACACTTTACATCATCTCCAATCAGCAAAAGCGCTTAATGATGAGGGGGCATCACTCTCAATTTCAAGGGTATTTATTTTGATATGCATCTACCATTTGTTACACCAAATGGCAATTCCCGGAAGCGTCTCAAAGTGAATCTTTTTCCCGTCCCCACCAAAAGATCTATTTAAGAGGATCTTGACAGAACCATCTTTTTTTTTTTTTTCATAATTCTCTCTTGTCTAATTTAACGCGTATTACCATGGTTACTACTGAAAAAATCACTTGTCTCTTGAACTGGAAGGCTACTCCCTACCACTTGCCTTTGTTCTTGGCTCAACAGCTTGGTTACTTTGCTGATGAAGGCATCAAGGTAGCAATTCTCGAACCTAGCGATCCCTCGGATGTCACGGAAATCATTGGCTCGGGTAAAGTCGATCTTGGTCTAAAGGCTATGATTCATACGATGGCTGGCAAGGCTAGAGGCTACGATATCAAGTCAATTGGTACGCTCTTGGACGAACCCTTCACGGGTGTGATTCACTTGAGCCACAAGAGCGGCATCACGAACGATTTCCAGTCTCTTCGTGGCAAACGTATTGGCTATGTAGGCGAATTTGGCAAGATCCAATTAGATGAATTGACGCGTCACTTTGGTATGACGCCTCAAGATTATCAAGCAATCCGTGTAGGCATGAACGTGACAGATGCCATTATCCGTGGTGATATTGATGCTGGTATTGGTATTGAAAATGTTCAGCAAGTCGAACTCGAAGAATGGTCCGTTCAACAAGGAAGGTCTCGTGATGATGTCCAAATGCTCCGTATTGATGAGCTTGCTGAATTAGGCTGCTGCTGCTTCTGCTCGGTAATTCGCTTTTTTTTTCTTTTCTTTTTCCTCGATAGAAATGTGCTTATCTAACTCTAAAAATAGATTCTTTATATTGGTAATGAAGAGTTCATCAAGAACAATCCTGAAAAGGTTCGCAAGTACCTCCGTGCCATCAAGCGTGCTACAGACTACATGATCGAGAACCCAGCTGATGCCTACAGCAAATATGTCAAGATCAAGCCTCACTTGGACACCGATCTCCATCGTAAGATCTTCCAACGTTCCTTCCGCTACTTCTCTCGCGACTTGAAGAATGTCCAACGCGACTGGAACAAGGTTACGGCTTATTGCAAGCGTCTGAACATCGTCGATGCTGAATTTGAACAGAACCAGACTAACGAGTTCTTGACTTGGCCCCTTCTTCCTGAATCGCAGCCTGGTGTCGAGCCTACTACTGTTGAAACAGGCGTTGTTGAAGGTGGGTGCACTCGCTGCTTACACAGTAGCATTGCTCCTCCAAAGATATTTGCTTAAGAGGTAACTCGAAATATGATATGAATCGCGCACATGTTTTACTAATTTCACATCATTTCATAACCTCCTTTTTTTAACATAAAAAAAGAGAGCAGTACAGTAGGGTCGACACTAGGGGAGCTCATTGTAATTGTCTTTTTTGATTTACGAAAAAGATTTACTTTGTGGCTGAGAACTTGAAACTCTCATTACCTGATCAGGTTAGCACCTGCGAAGGGAAGTTGTCGACCTCTTTCTCTATGTTTTTCTATGGATGAAAGCTTTTAAATAAAAAATTTTTTTTTTAAAAAGTATTATTTCTTTTTTTTCAATTGTTTCTTGTAACAATATCCATTGCAATCTGTTTGATTTGCAGCATTCGTGATTTGATTTGAGGTCAATTCGTAAAGCGTCACCATCCTGTCCAGCTTTGGGGCAACAACGAAGTCAAACCGGAAGGTAAGTGATCTGACGGCTTTGGATTAAAATACCTCCCACAGAAGGAGGTCGGAAACGCCCTGAACGAAACAGATCATACTCATTTTTACGCCCTGAATGATCGTCTATCGTAAGATCACCTAGGGATACAGCCATCGCTTTCGTCTTCAATGTCACAGCACGGATGGCACGTGTTGATCAAAGAGTACATCCCCCTTATAGGCCTTTCCTTAATCCAGTAGAAGAGTGCCTTTCCAAATCAAAACTATGTTAAAACACAAGTCTGATTTAACTAGTGTTGCGTTTATTAAGCATATTTCTGAGTACTGCGTTGACCAAACATTGAAAATAGACTTGCATGAAGTATGGCTTGTGCGTGACGGCTTTTCATATCAGTTCTAATTAAAAAATAAAGTGCCTTGCCTTTTTTGATTAATCATTTCGACAAGCCATGGCAAAAGAACGATCAGCAATCAGTAAAAGTATGAAGAAAAGAGTCTCCGGCACCCATGTGTCTGGTCTCTCTACATCAAAATCAGCCAAGAAAAAGGAATCTGGCTTAAAGTTTGGACAGTTATCCAGGAAGCAGAAACAAGACTTGCAAGATTATGGTGAACTTGTACCCAAAGATTTTGAGGAAGAAGAAGAAGAAGAAGGAAAGACCGCCAAGTAAGCTCATGAGTTTTTTTGCTTGTAGAACTTGGAAAATGACCCTTTTATTTCAATTTAGACGAAGACGTGTTGTAACAGAAGAGGAACTTGATAAAGAATTGGAGGAGGAAAAAAGGATCCGTGAGACACAGTTTGAAAGTGAAGAAGAGGAGACAGGCGACGAAGAAGAGGATGGCTACAAGAAGCCTTCTGCGTATTCTTTGCTTATTGGATCATTGAAAAAGACGTCAAAACAAAAGGACTTCTATAAAAAGATTCAACTTGAAGAGGAAGGATTTGATAATGAAAAAGAACAATTGGCTCTTCAAGAAGAAGAAGAAGAGGAAGAAATGGATGAAGATGATATGCTGGATGACGAAGATGTTGATGATGAAGACATTGATGACGAGGATATTGCTGATGAAGAAGACGAGGATGAAGAGGAAAACGATGTAAAAGACGAAGATGAAGGTAAACAGATGACAAGACGATACAAGGTATCATAAATTAACTGCTGCTTAATAAAAAAGAAGTGGATGCAGATGCTCCAGATGCATATGAAGAAGAAGAAATTATATATGCTGGAAGTGGTGCAGAAGAGGAAGAAGACGATGATGCGCTTGCTCAAGATATATACGAAGCCAAATATGCTGACCAGCAATCAGGTTTACTGGATGAAAAGATTGCAGTCGTAGAACAAAAGAAATGGGTTCCTCATGCATTTAAAGACGAACAGCTCAGCGACGTGGTAGCTTTGATGACTAATAATGAAAAGATATCCGTGGATGCACCCAAGATTGAGAATCTAGAAGACGTTAGAGTCAAAAAGCGTGTAGCAGGTGCATGGTCCAAAACAAACAAGTCTGTTAAAAAAGGTACGGACAGATCATTTAACTTGATGGCATAGTCTTATTTAAACTGAATAGGTCGTGCATTGTTTACGCCACTCCAAAACAGCTTATTTCATCAGATGAATCAGTATCGCGATATACTATATTGTAATCGTACATTAGATAATGCAAAGGAGATTAGAAATACTTATGTACTGCATGCCTTAAATCATATCACAAAGTAAGACAGAACCAAAAGAAAAAAGAAGACTAGATCCAATGACTTTTTTGTAGGACAAGAGACCGTGTTTTAAAGAATAATGCAAAACTTGTAAAAGCACAAAAGGAAGGCAATGATGTTGGGTAAAAACGTATATTGATACAAAAAAGATGATATTGATATTAACTGACCTTGTTTAGCGAATGCCGAGATCAAGGATTCACTCGACCCAAAGTGTTGATCTTGTTACCATTCAGAAATACGGTGGTTGATGTTGTAGATAGTTTTATTAAATTATCAGCCACAGAACAGCAGGAGAATAAGAATAGATTTTACGAGCAATACAACTTGAGAGAAGAAGAAGAACTTGATCCTACTAAACCCGTAGACTTTTTACAAAACTTTCAAGGCAATATTGACGATCACTTCCGCTTGGGTATAAAGTTTGCAAAGAAATCAATGAAACTATATGCCGATTTTTACAATGCTGATGTTATCATTGCCTCTCCCCTGGGTCTGAGAACATTGATCGGTGCTGAAGGGTAAGTGAAACCATATACAAGCATATAACCGTTAACATTGCTCTGTAGGGATAAAAAGAGAGATTTTGATTATCTGTCCTCGATTGAAGTTGTTATCTTGGATCAAACCAATCATTTCTTGATGCAAAATTGGGAGCATATTGAGCACATCTTCCAGCATATGAACTTAATACCTAAGGAAAGTCATGGATGTGATATTTCGAGAATCAAAAGCTGGTACTTGGATGGAAAGTAAGTTCTAGTCAATACTGTTTGAATACATAATTAATGCGCTGTAGAGCAAAATACTTTCGACAGACTATGTTGTTTGCAGACTTTTTGACGCCAGAATTTAATGCCTTATTTAACAAGCATTTTAAGAATGTGTCTGGAAAACTCAAGATAAAGCGAACGTATGAAGAGGGATCTATTCTGGACATTATCCCTCAAATACAACAGGTAACATTTATTAGAATGACACAGAAATGATGGTCTAACAGTATACTTTAGACATTTACACGTATAGAATCACCATCATTAAGCTCAATTCATGATGCACGCTATAAATACTTTATCGAAAAGGTAAGTTTATGATAAAGTAAGCATAAAGGGACGAATTGCTTATACGTATTTATAGACTCTACCAGCTCTTCGTAAATCAGCCATTATGCAATCACATACCCTTATCTTTATTCCTTCCTACTTTGACTTTGTTCGAGTACGAAATTATTTTGAAGATAACAGATATTCATATGAGGCGTGTTCAGAGTATGCTTCAGGACCACAAATTACTAGAGCAAGAGCACAATTCTTCCATGGCCGATGTGATTTTCTATTGTATACCGAAAGACTTCATTTCTTTAGAAGGTAAAGAATAAGAACAAGAAGTGAATGCATATTAACATTAAATCCACAGATACAATATTCGTGGTACTTTCCACATCGTCTTTTATGGACTCCCTGAAGATCCATTGTATTATACCGAAGTTGTGAACTTTTTGGCTTTAAAATTCAATGAAGCTAGTGCAGCTGAAGAAGCTACGTTTTCATGCACTGCTTTATTTTCCAAGTATGACTTTTTGAAATTAGAGCGCATTGTTGGCACAGAACGCGCAAAGAAGATGTGTACAGCACAAAAGAACGTATTTATGTTTTCATAAATAAAATCCCAATGTTCTCGAACTTGCTTATTTTTGGAAACGACAAATCCAGATATGGAAAGCGTTTCGTCTTTACAAAAGCATCAAGTGGAAATGATCACACGACAATACTCCAGCCAATGGATCATAAGATTACCCCTGTTACATTATAGATTGTATCAGCTGGTTTAGACGCTCAAACCAATGTTTCATTTAGCTCATAGAGGATATCAAAAGGCTTTATATGTCACATGACTGGGCATCGAACTTGTAATGCAAAGGATTTTCTCACCAGTCTCATGCAATTTGCTGCTTGATAACACCTTGGGCATTTGTGTTGAAAGGGATATATGCTTTCAACAGTAATGCTTGAGGCTGCCTTGGTCTTTTTTTAACCAATTGCTAACGTGACTTTCATTGCACCAATTGTTGCAAGCTTTGCACTTGTCTAAACCACCATTATAGTCAATCCGATCTCGTTTTTCATGCATACATTGGAAGAGAATAGTAATCCTGAGGTTGTAGCTACTATCATGGGTTATGACACGAGATGGTGCAAGATACTACTGGTTGTATTAAGGGGACTAATTTTCCCAAGATAAAATTTAGCGAAAGGAAGGAGTGCCCTCTAAGACTATACACTGTCAGATCAAACTTTAAGAAGCTCTTATTGTTAGACTTTAGAGATCTGATCCGCGGTTATTCAAATTATTTTTTATTTACGGCAAACAAAAAATCTTAGTCAGCCAATCATAATTCGGACAGTAAAGGGGGAAGATCCTATTTTATAAAAAAAAAAAACAATGTTTATAAAAGGATAATTAAAACGTTAAAGGATAAACAAAAGGGGAGGGGGGAATAGATATTGTCCCAGGATATAAGAGTAGCTTGTGTATCTGTGTACAATGATTGAACCTTTTTAAACATATTATTTTACGCTTTTTTTGGTGTCTTTTTTTTTCATTTTTCGTTTTTTTTCATTTTTTTGTTTTTTTTTTTAGTCTTTTTCCTCTTTTTTATAATGATGTAAATACATTAACCCAATCTTTTTCCTATTTTCTACTCTTGTCCTTTCTTTTTTGTTCAAGAAAAAGGGACAACAGAAAAAAAAGAGAAAAAGTATTATGAAGTGTACTTATGCACTCAGTAACACAGCAGTACTCGAAGCAGAAGACGTTGGAGCCGGACCAGCCGGTGAACCCGGAGCATCAGGAAGTGTAAAGTGTAGTAAAAATTGATCTTGGTCCATTTTCTTTAATTTTTTCACTTGGTTTTCTTCCATGTCTTCTTCTCCATCCCTTGATCGCTTTACTTCAGGTTCATGAGACAATAGGTTATTGGACTTTATACAATTTAATAATAATTGGGTATCATCTTGTTCTTGCTGTAATGTATTGGACGTATTGGAACTATTAGATGAAGCGCTTATTGTATCCAAAAGTAGAGTTTCACTTGTAGTGGATAATGTGTCCTTGTCAACTTGGTTAAACCATGACCAGTCGCAAGATGAAAGTATGTTACTATCAAGGCTGCTATTATTATCACTATTACTATCAACTGTAGTAGTAGTAGTAGTAGTAGTCGTAACATGATTATCAAGAGATTTATCCTCGGCAGTTTCGGTAGCATCGATTGTTGTATGTGTACACTTTATTTCCGTAGCATCCTCAGTATGGTTTAACGATCCTTGATGACTAATGAAATCATCCAATCCTTCAGCTAGCCAAGCATCTGGAGGTAATTCTAATAGAATTTGCTGTTGCCTACGTACATTATTCCATAATCTATGTAGGGTGCAACATTTATTATTTTTCATGAATTTAAGAAAATGTCTTTTTTTTTTTGTTATACCTAGTAGTCAGCAGTATTTTTCTTAATGGTACTTCATATCTAGAAGGCATAGGCGGGTATATCTTTATTTGACTAGCATCAGCTAAGCGTTTCATCAATAACTCTTTATTCGTTAAATCCATTTGTATATAAACGCAAAAAAAGGGGGAAAAAGAGAGAAAAACGAAAAAAAAGGGAAAAAAAGTGAAGAGAGAAATGGATTGAATTGCAGTCTTTTTACTTCAATCCGAATTTTTTTTAGACCAATGAAATTTAATTTTGGACGATTTTTATTTTAGACCTTTCAACATATGTTTTGAGAAGTTTTATGATTATTCCTCTTAGACTTTGAAGGGAAGACCTGTAAACAATACAAAGGATACTTGTTGTTTGTTCTGTGCACAAGAGTTTCTTTTAGAACAAGTGTAGTTACAGAGAGAACGCTATGCTTGTTTTTCTTCAGTATTGTTCAATACTTTAGCATTAGGACAATACTATACATTGAGATAATTACTATCAACATTACTTTTGCACTTTGGTTTTGCTATTCCCTGATTGGTTCATGATAAGAGTCATGGCTTTTGGTTGCGCTTTATTTTCCATTTTTCTAAAATGCTATTTTCAATTCTTTCTGAATCATAAATCAAAGAGGTCCAAGAGTCTCATCTATACTCTATCTTTCTCTTCTTTGCTCTAAACACAGATATATATATAACAACCAATAAATATCACGGAATTTGTTACTATATAATAGATATTAGAATGATCCCATTCTTTTAGCTATAAACATTGATACTTTGTCTGATGATGTTTACAAACACACTACGCAGAGCAATACCTCAGGTCGTCGTTCTTTCTTGTGCAAATTGCTCACTTGCAAAAAAAGAGCATGAAGCGAATAATTTTATCGGCGATTAAATTGCTTCTATTTTAATCCCTTTTTGTTCCGCAGTTCTTCTCTTTCATTTACATCATGTCTAATGAAGAGTTGATCAAGTACAGAGCTGATGTGATCTATTATAAGCCAGAGAGAGAGAGAGTAGTGGTAGCAATAAAAGGAGAAATTAACTCAGAAATGAATTGGATCTAAAGAGGAAAATGTCAATGCGTTACTTTATTGCATTTTACTAAAAATGACAAGTTGAAAGGTGTTACAATAATCCATGTGGCAAAAAAAAGTAAGATGTTGTTCATATATGATCAGTTTAGTACCTTCAAATTATCTTCAGTGACTTATAGCTGCTTGTGCCTTACACAGATCAGTCATCATGAATACCTTGTGTTTACTTAGACTTTATCTCTGGATTTGACATATTTGTGTGGTAGTACAAACAGGGGATAGGCGCAACCATGTCGGATGTTTACTTTGCGCATCGACATCCGATGTTGTGATCTAACCTCATTGTGCAATGATCACATTCATTGTGTAATTGATCTACAATGACAGATGTATATAGACTGATCTAAGCATGTCGATCTAGGAGGAGATATGTTATAATGCACAAGAAAAGAAAGTTAGCTACATTCTCCATGTATGATTACTTGATTAATCTGGGCTGCGGCATGAGAATGTGTTTAAATGATTAACAACTAGTCATTCATTGTCATCATTGTGGCACACACACAGAACGTATATCAGTACGATACACGTCGTATCAATAGTCAATTGACCCAAGTATCAATATCCAACATGGTCATTGAGTCAAACAATTAGAAAAAACGTATGCTGAAGCTGTAATTCCAAAATGATTGCTATAATTCAGAGAATTTCTGACGTTAGGTATCTTGCATCAAGCAAAAAAAGGGCCCCCTGTGATACTGTCCAATGCGGATCAGATCCGTAATTCTTGTTCAAGAAATCAACATGCTTTGCGCTTCAGGCCCCTTTTTTATACTATCAAAAGTGTATGATTTCACGCTTATTATTTCTGTAGATAAGGCATTATCCGTCTTAATTCAATGAAAAACCTCTGGGAAAGAGCTTATTCCAATAGTGATCCGCGATAATATTCCATATTTCAAAAGAGAAAATCTGACTATACTGATTCTTTGACTATATAAGCTCAGTGATAGCCCCTGACTGTAAATGTACGTAGACTTATATTCTACGTCTCTTATGCAATTGATTATTTGTGCAGAACCTCCTTTTTTTTATATTAAGGTTGAGCTTATTTTATATACCGCGTGGCCAGATCTTTCTAGTAACCCTTGTTCTTCTGTATTCTTTTTCTAAAGGGTTTCCTCAAATAGAAAAGCCATACAAGTATTATTCGATACAAATTGAAGCCCCCCTTTTTTTCCTGAATGTACTAAATTAACACCTTCCTTTCTTTACAATATCAATAAACGTCATCATTTTAATAAATCGCTTGTTCATGCAATTTTAATTGACGCAAATAAACACTTTAAATCTATTTTTACACAAAATAAAAAAGTATTCATTACAGTTGCCGGAATAGCTGCTACTGCTTTATAATGGCGCATATGAAATTCGCGTTGTTTTTTGTGTAAAATTTTTTATACCTTGAAAAATTGATGATGTCTAAACCATGTCAGCCTATGCATGTCATCTTTTTCAAGTTCATGTAGATCTAGTGATTATATACCTAAAGGTACTATATAATAGATTCCATAGATATAGCACACTTTAATAAGCCAAGAATACTATCTATACAATGCCTATAGGTTATTCTTCTCCCATATCATCAGGATTGATTACTCTAGTGTAAAGGTTTACTATCTCTTGTATAAGACATGTATTGCATATCTGTACTTGAGCATTCAAAAGGATACAATATGGCTTTTATGTAACGACTGCTCGCACTTTATGTTTCCCCACAGAAGAGAATGTATTTATCTTACTTGATTTGAGATTAAGACAACCTCTTGTGTGACGTGACCCTGTTCCAGAACAATTGCAGGGCATATATACCATAGTTACCTACACCAAGGACTTTTAACTCATATTTGTTACTGCCAATAAGAATAGCTTAAACATTAGACAGTGCTTCTTTTTTTTTTGGATATAGCAGAGGAAACACCATTCACTTTGTTATACTTTAGGACCAAAGGACACTAGAGCACATTCAAAGTAAACCGCACTAATATGATTCCATGTAATAAATGATTCAAACAAGAATGGGTTTTTCATGTAAAAAGTAATTTCTGTTCAATTAGAAACATTTATTTCCTTGTCATGATTGTCACATAAATGGTGGTTTAATATGTTTTAATCAATAACCCTCAGGCTGCTCATAAATTCACATATACTTCTTATTTTTAACTATAGTTATTTAAAGTTATTGTTTGTTATAAAAATATCTATTAGATAATTAATCATGAATGAGGGTAATTTCTCACCTTGCTGTGTATCAATATAAAATAAAGCTAATGAATAAATGAACTCCTTTTTTTTATGTATCACAAAATTAAGGAAATTGACAGTTGTCCTCTAAACAATAATTAACTTTAAAAAGGTTATAAATTAAAGACATTTTCGTTTCATTTCTTGCATATTCTTTATATTTTATTTTATTATGGATCATTCAGTGTCATCTTCATCATCAAGTCTCAGTCGTACATCCTCTTTCAATCAAATATTTTCAAGACGTAGGTCAAACACAGTGAGCGAATCGACACCAAAGAAAATGTCACTATCAAGGCAAAGATCCATATCAGAAATCATGAGCAGAGTCACTCGACTTTCTATCCGCACTCATTCTATAAATACACCTTGTCAACAAACCTATTCTTCTAAAGTGGATGATTATGGTATTCTCAGGACCATAGGCGCAGGTGCGACTGCCTCTGTTTATTCAGCCATCTATAAGCCAACACAGTCAATGATCGCCATCAAGACTGTTAATTTGGAAGACAACCATTTAGACGATTCAAGATTGGAAGCATTAAGAAAAGAGATTCAAATCATGAACCTATGCAAACACCCACATTTACTTCAAGTCTATCAAAGCTTTGTTCATAGTTCCCAATTGTATATTGTTACACCAATCATGTCAGCTGGTAAATGTCTTTTTTTTAAACAAACTCTCCCTTCTAATAATAATGATATAAAGGTTCTTGTCATGATATTCTTTTAAAAAACCGTTGCGTTGGTTTGAAAGAAAACATTGTCTCATGGTAAGCAGTGGGTTTCTTTCCGTGTACAAATATTGAACGGTTTCATAGTATTCTGAAACAAGTAGCACTAGGATTAGAATACCTTCATAGTAATGAATTGATTCACCGCGATGTCAAATCAGCCAATCTCTTGATCGACTGGGAGACGGGAACCGTCAAGCTGGCTGACTTTGGTGTCAGTAATCACTTATTCAATTTGGCAGACTTGCCTAAAAAGAATGAAACATTTTTATTACCCTTCCATGCACCTCAACATCAACATCCCAAGAAAGCACGCCGATCATTTGTGGGTACTCCATGCTGGATGGCACCAGAGATACTGCTGAACCATGACTATGATGCAAAAATAGACGTTTGGTCTCTTGGTATCACTGCTATCGAATTAGCCAAGGGTAGACCACCTTACTCAGAGTATGACCCGATCACGGTAAGTTTTAGGTAAATGTTTGAAGAATATATGGCCTTACATACTTATAGATATTCACGATGGTGATTGAAGATCCACCTCCAACCATCACTCATTGTGAGTACGAACCTTCTGCCTCCTTTAAGGATTTTGTCCAACACAGTCTCCAAAAGGATCCTAATCAACGCTGCTCGATTACTGAACTCCTCAGTCAATCATTCCTGAAGAAGGCTGCATCTCCTGAACTGCTAAGAAAGTATCTTGCACAACAGCCTGATCTGAACAGAAAAGGATACCATTCGAGTAAGAGCAGATCTAAAAGTGACTATAACGATGTTTGGGATGATGATGAATATGACGACTTGGGTGTCGAATCTACTTGGAACTTTGAAGATCATCCAACACTGAGACTTTCTACGGAACATTTGGAGTATGGCGTCAATTCTGTGACAGATTCGCCTATTACTCCATTAGATGAGTATAATGGTTTATTAACTGACAAACGCGTCCTCTAACAATAAAACAAAACGTCGTGATCCTGCTTTCACTTTTGTACATCTTCCATCTGGTGAACTTTAATCTGATGTGTCTATGTCCAAGAAAGAGGCTTAATAGGAGTGCTTTTGTTGTAATGAGAAATACCTTCAGATTGCCCCTTTGCGTAAATCCTTTACCACAGTTGGGGTATGTACACATGAATGGCTTCACAGGCCAATGGATAATCTCGTGTGTTCGTAAGTTTCCGAGTTGAGTGAATGCCTTATCGCAGCCTTCATATGAACACTAGGTAGATAAAGAAGTATTTGTATCTACAGAGCTTTTCTCTCTTTCATTATAAATCTTACTTGGTATGGTCGTTCTCCTGTATGCTTTCTTGCATGTGTCTAGTAAAAAGGACGATGTATTAGGAATTTATTATTGCCCTGTTACTTGTAGAGCCATTACCTTCAAGTTTCCATATTGTGAAAACGATTTACCACAGTCTGCATATGTGCATACCTGTTTACATACATATATGTGTATATGTTTCAAAAAGAAATGTTCATACACTTACATAGGGTTTATCTTGTCCTGTCTTTGAGCGTGCTGGTAAAGGTTCACTCGTATCATGCACTGTTCTATAAAGGAAACAAGTAAGAAATAATGGGTATCTCAACAATAACGATAAGAACCTTTGATGTGTTCGTAGTATACTGGGGCTATCAAAGCACTTTTTACAGTCCTTGCAGCTATATAATTTACGAGACATGGCTGGAGCATTGCTATTATTGTTATTATTATGATTATTATTGTTATCTGATACTACTGGATTGGTATAAATGGTTGACATTGCATGTAAACTATAGCTGCCTTGTTGTGAATAAGGCTGCTGTAGTTGTTGTTGTTGTTGCACTGATGACTGAAGCTGTTGTTGTTGTTGCTGTGATGGGAAATAAGGGCTTACTAAATCTGCTTTTGAATGTTGCATTTACTTTCTCTGCATATAAAAAGAAAAAAAACTAGGCGTAAATTTTTATTTTTAAAACATAATTGTATCTTTTAACTGCAAACGAGGTATTTTTCTATAGTCTCCCACTTTGCCAAGTTGCCACAAGTAAACATCCAAACCACCGGTATTCATCAGTCCATTAGATGCGTGAACAATATCCTCACAGGCAGCAACGCTGGCGGCTCTTAAGGCCGTAGTCACTTCTACAGACAGGTCGACATTCTTCTCAATCGTCTCCTTCCATTCGTCAGCTATTTCCATAACGCCCAGATGAATGAGCATCGTAGGTACCACATTATCAGCAAAGACAGTCAAACTGTCGATATTCGTAAAGTCAAAAAGATCAGGGACTTGATGTCTCAGCAAGAACCAGAGATGATACACCATGATTTGTGCCTTCTTGAACAGATAAACCTTATCGTCGCCAAATACATAATGATCGTGTAATGCAGGGAAAGCTCTGACCAAAGCTTCGACTAGATAGAGCGCATCCTTGGGTTGCTTTTTGGCATGATCCAAGATGAAATGAGCAAGACTCTTGTATCTGTGGTCTTGCAAGTACTTGCCAGTTGTGTTCAATGTCGAGGTGATGCCAACAGCCAATGGCTTCAGGGGTGTTGGCTGAGACATGGTAACAAAGTCCAATGTTTCGTGACGAACTTCCTTATCGATAGGGAACTGGAAGATTTCAGAAACCTTGAAGATATCAATCTCGCTAAATGTCTTTGCGTCCATAGGAATTCCACCAATATGCATAGCCATGACACCATAGCGGATCGTATCAAAAGCACTACAAATAAGGATTTAATAACCCTTGATTTCTCTCTCTCTTTCTCTTTTCAATTTACCCTCTACCAGCATATTTATGAAGTTCTAATCGATATCCACTACCAAAATTCAACAAATTAATGACGGAAATGAAATTGAGCTCTTCTTCCATAGTAGAAAACTTGAGAGGCAAGATAACTGATGAATCATAAGAAAGCTCGTCATACTGCTTCTTATCAAGCTCACTCAAAAAGCGGTCAATACCCTGCTTGGATATTTTGACTTTATCGCTTTTCTCTGTCAAAGCACGACACGATGTGCGTACGGCTTCAACAAAGTTTCCGGTTGGTAAGGTAGCGGTTTTATCAACAGCCTCCATGTTTGTATATACACTCAAAGAGAGAAAAAATATACTAAGTATTTATATTCAATAAGTTTGACAACCGCCGTTGATGTGTCTATGCGTCAACGTAAAAATAGTCACGTTATTACTGCGGTTGTGCCAGTCGGGCTTACACTTGTTCTCTCATATTAATGAATTTTATGATCTGTGCTGAGTTTTTGTAAATGTTTACTGTGAATGGTTGAAGGGACATGTAACACTTCATCGGTTACCGCAGTATGATAGCGCCGTTGAAGTTGCGATTAAAAGGCCATTGTTTCCTGTTTCACAAAAAAAAAGTTTGTATGTGTAGATGTTTTAAGCAGGAAGCTCGTGAAGCTGTAAGATTTATTGGTTACAATGAATAATGAATATCCATTACGCTGTATTATCAATAATTGAAGCATAATGGTCTTTTTCTAAATAAAAAATGATTTCTCCGTCTAATGTAGTTATGTCCTCATAGCCAGAAGCTTTGAAAAAAGTATGCTGGCATATAAAATGACTTTTTTTTAAAGACAACCCCTGGATTGGCCTTGAAGCAAGCCTTCGCCATAAAAAAAAGTCAAAGTTGGTCAACTCGAATTATATGGAAAGTGGTATAATGAAGACTTTATCCAATTGATATGGTTTTAATGCGATGCATTACGATTCTGGTTTAAAAGAGACAGAATATATCAATCCTCCTTCAATTGTGGAAAAGAGAGCTAAAGAGAGGCATACAGAGATAATGAATATCGGGGCTTTTCCTTAAATGAAAAAAGAAGGCGCGCGCGACAGTCACCATTCTTTCTTTCTTTTTTTTCTTTTCTTCTTTATTTATATATGCCTGCAGAAACAATGGAGGAAACTACCAAACAGACGGCAGAGAGACAGTTGGGAACGACGACATTTCCTTTAGCAAGAATAAAACGTCTTATCAAAGAAGATAAAGATATTTCACTCATCAGCACCGATGCCACTTTTTGTATTACTTATGCTGCTGTAAAATAATACAAATCCTACTGTTGAAAATATGACCACTGATTGTCATTTTAGGAATTGTTTATAGAATATCTTGTTTCTGAAGCACTTGATAAAGCTAAACAAGAAAAAAGAAAGAGTGTGTTTTATAAAGATTTGGGTATGGATCAGAAGAATCATTATTAAAAAAAAGTGTAAGACTAAAAAGAGAGAATTAAAGCCAAGGTCGTAAAGGATGTCGAGCCATTTGAATTCTTGGAAGATGTCATTCCAACCACAATGACTTTGAAAGCAGCCATAGAAAAGAGGAAACAGGTGTTGAATGAAGATACACCTGCAAAGAAACAAAAGACAGATCCAATTCAAGAAGAAGAAGACGAAGAAGAAGACGAAGAAGAAAATAAGATGGAAGAAGATATAGCGATGGAAGATAATGCAGAGCAGAAAGAATTGAAAAATTAATGTAGAAAAGATCAATGATGTGGTAATAGGCTTTCAGTAATATAATAACAATAATAATAATAAAAAACTAAAAAAAATCTATATATCCTTATTCCTCTCTAATAGCAAACATAGCTTATCTTGAGTGTTTAAAAGAACTTTCAATTCTTGAATTGAGAAGCATAGTTGACTCCCAATTCGACTTTGGATGTGGTAAAGACTGGTGGTATATTTGAATAAGCTATTTTTTTTTTCCCTTAGACTGTCGTAGTTTATTTTACACATACACACATAAAAAAAAGAAAAAGAGGAGAGGTGGACTATATACAATGAAATAAATAAAAATGTACAGAAAAAGAAAAAACTATAATGCATGCCCATAACTTGTTGCTTCACGGCTTCGAGTTATACGTCCCTCATCCTCTTGATGCCTTGTTCCAAATCGTTTTTGAAATTTGATTAGTTTGCGTGTAAGCATATCCATAATTTCCAGTGATGATCGATTATCGTCTTTTTCTGGTTCATGAAAGTCCAAATCATCATCGCGCTCAAGAGGTATGGTGCTTGCACTGCTTAACGAACATACATCATCATCCATTTTGCCATTTTGATCTGTATCCATTGTTTCTGTTGTTGTTTCAATAGCAGCAGTTGTAGTACTGGTAATAGTATCAGAAGCGCTGGCGCCTATGGATGATGTACTCTTGATATGATTTGGTTCTTTAGTAGCCATCTCAATCTGTATAGAGCTGATGTATTCAAGTATTTGAGCCGCACGGCGATTCATTTCATATATACTCATACGTGCATGAGGATGACGAGGCTTGGCGGGTGGAGATAAAGCACGCGATTCAGGTGTAAAGTATTCAAAGATAGCTGTGCCAATATTCGTTGTTGGATCCTCATGTTGGCTACTCGTCGGTGTTCCTTCATCCATAAGTGCTGGTGAACAATCTCTTGGCTGGGGGGTTGATGTACGTGATCTCGGTTTACCTCTTTTGCTTCCCTTCCCTCTTCCTCCTCCTGTCCTTCTTTCTGATGTTTTCAACTGTTTCTTCTTTGGTCTTGTTATTTTAGCAATAACTTCTGAATCTGATTCATCTACACTGTTTGTGAGCGTACTGTTTCTGTGTATACCGTCTCTACGTTACCTTGCTCCTTAATGGGTGGAAGTTCTTCATGAGGCACTTCTGTATCGTTTCCTTTCTTCTCTACAGGTGAAGGAGATCGTTGGCCAGACTCATACAGCTCAAGTGCGTTTCTCACTGCCAGAACATCCTCTAAAGACATGGATGCTTCTCTACTGTTTAGTGTCGTTCGCTTCTTGGGTGTCTTTTTATCGTGTCCAATTGAACTGTATTCACGCTTCGTTCTATAAGACAAGATTAGTACATGATACGCAATACGTATACATTCATTACTTACTTTCCACTAGGAAGTCTTGTTGCTAAATGATTCTCTGGTTTACATAATTCACAGTAGTAGTGATCAGGAATGTCTGGCTCTTCTAATCCCATACATTCACAATGCTGCCACACTTCACATTCATCACATTGTACCATCAAACCTACGCTATCTATAAAGATTATAAGTTTTCTAATGTTGTATTCAAGTAATAGGATACTATACGAGTTTTTCCGCATACACAGCGAGTGACTGAATCCGCTTCAGAGCTTTCTTCCTCTGAACTTGATTGAGATCTTCTCCTTTTCACTTGTCTTCTTTTTCTTCCTCTACTAGTTTTTTTATGAACTACTATTGTTGTTAGTATAAATTACAAGAATGTACTTGACTTACTCATATCAATAAATTGAATACTGTTGGCTACTGTGTTCTATAAAGCTGTGTATGTGTTGCGTGTTTTTTTTTTTTTTCTTTTTTCTTTTTCAGAAAAAAAAAAAGAGAGAAAGGACATTCTCTCTCTCTTTGTCTTTTTTTTTCCCTCTCTTTTTCCTATCTTTTTTCCACTGGAGAATGAAAAAGGGAGATTTTTTACAAACAGTCACATAAAACTGCATAATGGGTTTCACAGAACTTTCATTGGTATATTGTCATACCAATCGGTTGTTGTAGTGACAAGAGGTAGGTGACGGATAGGTTGGAGTGTTGATGTATAGTTTATTAAAATGAACATGATATGTGTCCTATTGCTTTGTTTCCCATTCGGCATATTTTGATGCTTGAGCCATTCTTTCCATAAACTCGGCTTTGGCACATGTATCCGTGTTGATTCTTGATAAGATTTGGTTTTCATGTGTTGCTATCGCTTGCCTTTTGGATTTATCAGTGTAAGCCGTCAATTTGACATCATATAATTTACAGTCTAGAGAAGGAAGTGCGGGTGACAGAAAGTAATAGCGTGGGTGCTCAAAGGTGTCATGAACCAGTTGAACGCCTGGTACATGAATAGGAGACTGAGGATCGCTTGGATTTTCAAACGTTGCTTCAACATAGATTGGCTGTTGCTTTAAAATAGGCTTATGCATTTGAACTAACCAAGAATAACTTTTTTTTTTGAAGCAACTGGTTATTGACCTTATTATTGTAAACTTACTGGGCACCTAATTGCTCATTTTTAGCATTGATGGCGAAACTTGCACTTAGATCCTCGAAATATTTTGACTTTTTAAAATGAGGTTCTTTTACTGACTTGTCAAATAGACAACCACAAGAAAAATTCATTGTCAAAGGGAGAAAAAAAAAAGAAAAAAAAAAAAAAAAACGCCACACTTACACAACATACATACACTTATTTATTGAGCCTCAGATAGAATCACTCTGATAAACTTGGTTACTTTCGGTCACCACTCGTTCCAACTCGGGAAAATTCGCTACATCTGCATCAGTAAACTATGTTGTTCATATTTAGCCTTCTTTTTATTTTCATTGTTATTTCATTATCTTACCTCCATAGCTGTACCATCGTCTGAGCCTACGGTATAAACTGTCGTCTTGGTGTGTTTGAAATTATGGCTGTGACCTTTTCCTGACACCTCATTCGTCGTGACTCCGTCAGTGGGTCTTGCTTGGGTTAAAGTGATGAATACAAGACAAATAAAGAAGACTGTGGCGAAATGTTTCATTTGATATAAAATAAAATGCAGGGAACAGAAAAAAGGACACATACAGTTTTATAAAAAAAGATATAAAATAAGGAGTAAAGTATAGGAGAGACGACTTAGATAAACTTCCAGAATCGACTCATGCGAGCAATAGTTTGTATCTTTTGAGCATTACTCAAATTTGGGTTTTCCAAGTCTCGAATATCTTCTAAAAATCTCGCCCGTGTGTTATTTCGACTGGGCAACGTTGAGGCATAGGCTCGTAATAAATGAACTTCACATAACAACAGTCCTTGGGTTTCACAGTCTGCTTGTAGCATACTTTCATCATTTGTCTTCATTTCTTGTCGCCATGCTTGAGATGCACTCATATGCCACTCACTTAGCTGCTGTGGTGGTGTCCTGATAATCAATTGTCTTTCGATTCGTCTTTTTTTTTT